CCTCATGAGTGTCCCGAAACTCTTACTTTTCTATTTCACATTCACTGACATGCCAGTTTTTGATTGCTGCCATACAGAGTTAGAGAAAAGAAGTGATAATTGCACCTGCTAAGAAGTATTAGGAGATGTTCTGACCTGCAACTTTCAGTATCAACAGCTGAGAGAAACTCTCAGTTACAATTTGTTTCTGTTTGGTCAGTGGTTCATTTCCTCCCTCCCTGGTCCCACTGCCAACACTTGCAAACAACAGTAAGTGGGGGCTTGCATATTCTGAAAATATTAATTATGAGGAGAAAGCGATCTAGGTTTCTTAGCTAATGTTTTGTCACAGGGAATACAATTTGTAATCAATTGCTTCAATTGCCTAGCGATAAATTTGATGCAAAAGGTGGACTATTTTGCCAAAAGATAGTCCGAAGACATGGACTATTTTTTATGCCCACAGAAGCTACTCAAAACAAGTTAACTCAGTTATTTCTGACTATAAAGATAAACATCATCTATGCCTAGCACGGTCTATCTATGCCAGAGTTTGAAACACAAATGTTTTGAAAAAAAGAACTCTAATATATCCAACATACCTATGTAAAAGAAAAAGGGTCTTCAGCAGTTGAAACTACTTATCTTGTTTTTGTAGCCCTTCTTAAAAATTCCCTTTAAGAAATGATGTGAGATTACTGCAAGCACTCAGGAATAAAACTAAACAAAAGATACATGAGTCTGCCAGAAAGAAATCAAATTTCTTTCTATGACAGGACAAGAAGTTGAATGGGTAGTAGAACAGGAACTGATTTATCTTGACTTTAAAATGGTTCCCACAGTATTCTCAGAACCATAAAGACCACAGAGACAGTCTTAATTTAGCAACTTCAAACTGGATGCAAAGCTAGCTAGGAAAGAGAGAAAAAAAAAAAAAAAAACACACACACACATATTCCAGAAATACTGATCAGTGACTATCAAATGGGATGACTCTTTAGTTCAAGGCTAAAGCAGTAGTCGGTATTCTCATTCATAATTGACTGAAGTACTAGAGAGGACTCCAAGCTACAAAGGGATTGAAAGCATTTTGAAAGATAAGATAATTTTGATAAGTGGAAAAAGTGGTTTGACAAATAGGATGCAGTTATGTAAGTAGAGCTGCAGAGCAGGAACCAACAACCGTACAATTACAAGACGGGAACAACTGAGTAGGCAGCAGTTCTGCGGGGAGATACGGATGGAGCTGCAGTGAATCACGGTTGGAATGAGTCAACAATCCCTGGCTGATGCAAAAATGACAAACATCATATTCTAGTGAATAAATTAGACTATTATGGGTTGGACAGGTGAAATATTTTACATATTTGCACAGTACTGGCCTTAGTGGGAGAATTACATCTAGGTTTGAGTATGGAATTCAAAGAACACAGGAAAAAAAAAGCCATTTTGCGTAAAAAGCTATAGAGGAGATATAATAAAAGCTATTATTATAAGAAAGGTGCTATAAAGGAGCTCACTGTCCTCCTCACATCCACAGGAAGCAGAAGGATGTGGGACAAGGAAGCAATAAGTTTTGTATGGCAAGAAAAATCAAGATTACTGTGTTCTTCTAACATCTAGGGATAAATAAGGATTCAAAATGACCAGCAGACACACAGTGGAATAACTATAATTAAAGATTTTCAAAAGCAGGCTAAACAAACATCTGTCTGGAATGATGTCTCCTTAGCCGACCCTATCTTTAGAATGGTGGATAAGACAAATTTGCCAGCCACATTTTCTATGTCTATAGCAGACAGAGACAAGAAGACAAAAAGGCCGCATTCCCAAAGGTCACACTCCACTTCTGATATTTTAAAAACACAGAGCAACACTGTTACTACCTACTTTAAGTTATTCCTTAATTCCTCATTACATTTTTAAAAACCAAACCACATGTTGATAGAATTCAATCACTTCTCTGAAAAGCAGATTTTCTCAACTGAAACGGTTAATACCATGTAATTCAACAGGACTTATACAGTTAGAAATTCAGAAAGTATGAGAGCTAGGGCTGAAAGCAAGCACTCATAGGTTTAAGTTCTGAGGTTCACAGGTAAATTCTAAAGGCTTCACTTCCCCAGTGTCACATTTTTACTTTTTGCTAAATTCTTCCCCCCTTCAGCTGCTGTAGCTTATGTCACTTAAAATATTTAATTACTACAAAGCCTTTAACCTAATCTGTCCTAACACTGATATTTTTGCAGCAAAACGGATTCTTAAGGTACAAACGCCTCAACTTGAAAAGCAGGTTGTTTTAAGTTAGTATTTCTTAAACAAAAACAAACAAGAAAAGTCAAATGTCATTTGACTGAAAAGTCAGCACAATTCCATGGCTGATCTGCCACATTTTGTTTCTTACTGCTAGATATTGAGTTCTGTTGACACAGCAAACTATACTACATTTTTTAAGACAAGGTTACTTAATCTATTATCCACCCGTGACAGTCCTATTAAAGATGTTTTGCATACCCATATTCTTATAAGACAACTTAAACTTGCCCGTGTTGTGGGTCAGACTCTACTGTCACAGCTTCATTGAAGGCAACAACAATACACAATTGGTCTTATCAAGCCCCAAAAGTCACTACTACATATTTACCATACTTATATATCACAAGTCTTACTCAAGAAAGGATTCTTATCTTAACACCTGATCAAGTTGTATCTGTAATTTTGGTTATATTCCAACATGTGTTTTTAAGAAAGTAAAATACGACCACAGGATCCCAAAGATATGCCTATTTGATATATACAGTTATCTCCTTTTGACATACGATTATAATGACTTATGACTTTTAATAATAAGATGCATGAGCTTCTTTCAGAGATGTGGAGAAAAATTCTTCATTTTCCTTAAGTAAGGAATCCAAACATTTCAGGTATAAATATAAATTAAATGTGGCACCAATAAACACACTAGCAATCGTCTGTATGAATGCATAGGGCAGTAGGTAGCAGACAGGACTGTACCAAAAGAGGCTGTGATCCACTTTGAAGAAAGTAAATAAATAAATAATCCACCAAGCTTCCTTCCTTCTGGAAAAGGTGAAGGTCAATTCCTCTGTTTCACTCCAAGTATAAAGGAAGTATCTGCATTCCTGACACGCAAGTTTTACATGCTATTTTTTGCCTGCTTTGGCCACACACTCTTTGAGGCTTCCAGTGATACTAACCTAATGGGGAAACTGTCAGATGAAGAACAGTCCATGGTTGTGTCTATTTACCTCTCTTCCTACTAGATACTGTCCAGACAGAAACTTTCTCTGTGTACGTATATGCTGTGTATAAGTGTATGTGCTTCTAGACACATTATTCCAGTATTCGGAGAGCAGAAGATGCTACTATCTTTTCTAATGATTTCTCACTTGTTTTTGCATCTCAGGACCACCACAGGAATGAAAGAGTAAAGGAATCTGTTTTGGATCAGCTTTTCTATAAAAAGCAAAGCGAGAAGTATCCTGCAAGTTGCTTTATACATTCGCTATAAACTCAACCTATATAAAGCAAGACATACCAGCCAACCATACCAACTCTGTCAGACTTCTTTTGCCACATTTAAGTTTTTACATGAGAATTTGGGGTTATGTAACTGCATAAGCATTGTAAACTAGGAATTCCCACAAGCACAGCCTATAGAATTGGGTTACCTGAAAAGATAATGATTTCTTAAAATTTTGACTCAAGTCATTCCAAGAATTTTCACTGCTACTAGCACTTCACTTCTCAGCTCTGTATAGCTTATAAAACCTTATATAAAGGGTTATACACACCCCTAGTTTTTACCGGGGAAAGTATTTTTAGTAAAGTTGTATGTGGATGCAATGTTTGGCTTTATTTTATTTTTTTTATAGTGCATTCTAGTTCAGTAGCCACTGACCTTGCTGAAACATCACTAGGCTCCAGCACTTTGAAAGCCACATTTTGGAAGCCCCATGCCAAACAACAGCGAATCCAGGGGCTCCCTAAAGGAGCTACTCTTTAGCCCCAGCCCTGTGCACAACAACACTCCAGCTCTGCATGCAACACTTGGACAACTCCCAAAGCAGGAACACTTTCCTGCTCTTCCACAAAGAACAGGGGGCAAAATAAATATCCACGGTTAATACCTTTAGAAAGAAAGAAATAAAAACAATCTCTGTTTTTAACTCACGGGCAGTTAAGCCATCATTACACTAGAGCGATGAGCAAACAGCCGGGCACGTTCCGAAGCGCCTCCCTCCAGGGCCCTGGGGAAGCCTGGCGTTCCTCAAGGCCCAGCAGCGTTTCAGGCCGGGAATAACAGGCCTGGCGTTGCTCAAGGCCCACGAAGACGCAGCAGCAGGGCCTCTCCAAGGCATCGCCATCAGCGCCCCATGCACGTACGGGCGCTGGAGCCTCCCGCGCCGCACAGGCCAGCAGACAGCAGCATTAAGGGCTTTATTTTTTTTTTCTTCTCTTTTTTCTTCCCTATTATTTTTTTTTTTTTTTTTAATCCTCCACATAAATCCTTCTTATTGCTTAACCATTTGGGTGACCACGAGCAGCTGTCACCCACGTCAAAACTAACAGCACATATCTACAGCCATTTCCACCTCAGATTCGGCTTTTATTACTATTATTTATTTCTGTCTCTTAAATATGGACACCTAACCATCTGGTTTTACTGGTCACGGACAGCCGCCCTCCCCCGCCCCCCCCGCTTTTTTTTGTGGTTTATAAACAGGACTAGGGACAAAAAAAAAAAACAAACATAACGACATGATTGGTCAATTCGTCCAATAAAATTGTATCAACTCTAAAACACGACGATTATGGATTAACAAAAAAAAGAGGGGAGGGCAAAAAGCAGGAGGTGGGTGTCCTATTAAAACTACATAAATAAAATACATAAATCAATAGAGAAAACAAGAGGTATAGCAGAAGCAGTTACGAGCCGCGTGGCCGAGACCCCGAGGGCCGGTGCCGAGGCCGGGCCCAGCCCCGGCGCCCCCGCCTACCTGTGCCGAAGGCCTTGGCCAGGAGCCACGCGAGGTTGCAGGCCGCCTTGGCCCGGGAGAAGTCGTAGTGGTCGAAGGGCTTGATGGCGGGCACGATGAAGGTCCTGCGCACCTCCCTGCCACCCGCCGCCG